AAGGCAAGAAGCAAGCGTCAGCATAGCCCTAGTTGTTTGCAGTATCCTGTGTCAGGATATTTTGCATTCCCTGGCTGGTGCTCTCCTGCAGAGCGATGCTGGCTCACCCCGTGTTAGCACAGCTTCACGGGGAGTTTGATTTAATGGGGGCTGGGAGCTGCTTCCCCTCATGGGGGGGCTCATTCCCAGCCTCACACCCAGCCCACGCGCTCTCCAGGGCCTCTCTGCTGTCATTTGCCGAGTGCTTTAATAATTCATAATGCAACTTGCAGCCCCCGTTTAGCAAAGCACACAGAGGGACTGAAGCGCCTCCGAGTGCTTTGTTGTGGCAAGGTTGCAGAGGTGATGTTCACCAGGCGTATCTTTGTGCTGTGGCTTTGCTTATTTGGATGTTAATTCTCTTGGCAGTGTTTATGGGATAAACATGGTTGTCAGGAGGGGTGGGGACAGACATCAGAGGGGTACAGGGTGTTCTTAGCGAACCTGAATGTTAACCAGAAACCTGCTTGGTTTTCTTGGTGCTGCAGCTAGCTCCACTTCTGTATCGAGCACCCAGAGCCAAGCTGCAGCTTTCCCTTGTGCTCAGTGGAAAAGCGCATGTTTCCATGGCTCCAGGGTGAAATATTGAGCCTGGCAGCCCCATGCAGTGGAGAGCAGCAGCAGAAAAACCTGCTGTGTCTGTGTGTGCTGTGGTGCTGGCACCACTCTGGCTGCAGGCCGGCCGAAGCACCGTGCTGGAGGCAGCAGTGACATCTTTGCAGTGCATGAGCCTCTGGGGCAGCCAGCACTGGGTGTGCTCAGAGTCTCAGAGCATCATGCAGAAGTAAATTTTGGTGGGGTCAGCATGTTATACCTGGGTTTGCTCCCATGGAATGGTCTTGGTGATGTGGTAACAACCATCCCAGACCACACGGCTCCTGCTCCCTTGGATGGCCTTGGGAAACAGATTCTCACATTTCTTTGTTGGGAGAAAGGGCTGTATGGTGCAGTCTCACCTCGTGTGCTCTTCCAGACTGCAGCTCTCTTGGGTTATTAGGTGTGTTCCCAGATTAAACACTTCATTAAGCAGGAGCTGCAACAGCTGTGCATAAATACTGGCAGCTCAGGAAGATGGGGCCTCATGGATGGGTGTAGCTCTGGAATGGCAAATGACCTCAGGAGACAAGGGTTGATGCCACCTTCACCCCGCCCAGGGCAGTGTGGGACCAGGAATCTGGAGACACCCTTCATATGCCTGGGCACCCACTGCCTTTGGGTGCCAGGGAGAGCCTCCAGTGCCAGAGTCTGCCCGAGTCACCTTCTGCTGTGATTACACAAGAAGGGTTTTCTTCTTCTCCAGTCTGAAACTTTCATTGCTGGAGTCAGCAGACCTGGAGAGTAATATGTTTCCCTCCTCTTTGCAAGCATTTTTTTCTGCCTTTGGAGGTTGTTACTATATCCCCTTCAGCTTTCTCTCCTCTAGACTAAACAACCTCTGCTCTTTAAAACTTTATTCCCAGGTCATGTTTTCTAGATGAAATTTTTTTAGACAAATGGTTATTGCTATCCCCTGATCACTGCGGTCAGACTGGAGCACTTTTGGCTTGTTCCCAATATGCCTCCTGAGGTCTTGTGGCTCCACAGAGAGCCATAGAGAGGGACATTTTGAGACCTTAGAAAGACTAATCTGGGTCTAGCCCTGCTCATGATGCCTTGGCATAAATGTTAAATTCAGCTTGGAGACACCTTTGTGTTCTGCTAGGATTCTGAATTTCATCCTGGACCCGTAACCTGCTGTGGGCTCTGTAAGAGCCATGCAGAGCTCTCAGTGCCTTCAGTGCCTTTTCTCAGTGCCTTTGCTTTGGAACAGCAAAGCTTTGCTCCTGAGCGAGTGGAATAAATCCTTCGCTGTCACCTTGAGCAGGTAAAATAGTTTCCTTCTCCCAACTGCACAGCTTGCTGGGTCACTTCCAAGCATGGCTCCCAGAAAAGACTTGTGCATGTGCAGCCTGCCCAGTCTACCTGGGAAAACACATTTTGCCCTCAGCATAGAGTCTTTTCCACTCTGTCATATGGAGAGATGAAGCCACTGGATGTTGGACTGGCTTTGCATCAGAGCCTCCCAAGCACAGGCTCCATCAACCCAAGTTCTGTGTGCTGGCAACAGTGATGGACATGTTCAGTACTGGATTCCTCTTACAATCAGCATTTTCTTAGTGAATCAAGATCTCAGAATGTTTGTGCTTAATTATAATCAAGCTGTCTGAATGATCAGCCAGAAACATCCCCATGACTGATTAAACCTTGCACTCCGAGCATGAGCCATTCATGTGGTCACAGGATCCTTGTCTGAGCTCACTGCCCAGTGCTGCCTTCTAAGGGGAAGAGATTAAAGTGCTCATGGTTGTCTGCTGGAGGTGTGTGAGGGGCTGCAGACCCCTGTCCTGCACAAACTAAAGCAGTGAAGCTTTGGCTGTGCCCTTCCTGAGCCAGACACCTCACTTATCACATCTTGCTTTACTCTACACAAAATGAAGCAGGTCTCCCTCCTGGTTGTCCTGCTTGATCTTGGCCACATCATTTCTGTCTGTGATGTGAAGGATGCAGATATGTCTTGTTTAATTCGAAAATACTGTTTCACTTTTGCCATGTCTCCGGAGTCTGTGCCCAGACACTTGTTTTATTCTTGCTGGATGCAGGAGCACAGGAGGGAGATGTCTGTGAGGGGCAGCTGAGCCACACAGGTACCATCTGATATGGCTGGCACTGGGAGCAAAGCACCAACTCATGCCCCACACCCCTGTGGGTGAGGCAAGGTCAGCCCCTTTTTAATGATGCTGCCAAAATCAATGTGTTGATGGCACAGAAGCATCCTGTGGTGTTGGAGTGTATTTCTTATTGTGGAGCTGCACCAGCTCCCTTAATGAAGTGCTGCATAAATGTCACCGAGGGATCATTTTCCTTGGTGTCAGCTATTGTCTGACAGATGTGTTTAAGGCCACATTGGGCTGTCAACAGCCATGATTCTCATTGTGATCAGCTCTGCCGGCAGTCCTGCTGCTGCTCTGGCTTTTCAGGAAGTCTTTGTGCATCTTACCAAGTTGCTCTTCCCTCCCCAGAGGCTGCTGGGCTCCTCCACAGTGGCACAGGAGGGACGTGGGGAGCGGTGCCTGATGTGACAGATGCCTTCAGAGGCAGAAAATTGCAGCTCCAGCGAGGAGAAGAAACATAATGGGAGTGTGGAGAGTGGGTGGGCAGGTCTTCCAAGGGGACAGGAAGCCCATCCACAGGGCTTTTTCCAAAAGGCAGTGGGCAGGGTTGGGCTGCTCACTCAAAGTCAGTGTGACTTAGGGAGGAAAAAAGAAAGCATGGAGTTGACTTGAAAAGTGTGTCCTTTTAAAAAAACCCATGGTTTTCCCTTCTTTTTAACCCAGCATTTCCCTCCTCCTGTGGCATTCAGGGATCACCTTCACTCTGTAATCATAAATTCCAAAAATACCCCCATTAGCAACAGACAAGCAAAGAAGCTGGGACTCAGGGAGCAAAACCAAGCCCTGTGAGGGCCAGTAATGGCTAAAGTGCTCCCTGATGGCACCAAAAGCAAGGTTTGGAAAACTGCCCAAAACCTTTGCAGGTTCTGTTGGTCTTTTCAAGGCTGAGCCCAAGGAAACCCTGAAGCAGCTCATGAATGGGGTTAGTGACAGCAACCTTCATTCTTGTTCAGGTTTAGCAGCAGCAGCAGCTAATGCAAAAAGAGCTGAGCTCTTGATTAAGTGCAAGCAGCTTTTGTTAAGGAAGAAAAGGCTTTATTCTTGAATTGTGGGCTGGGTTGTTATTTTTTATAATTAATTTACAAAGTCATAAATTGTTGGTGATTGCATAAAGGCTGTGCGTCATGTTGGAAATTCTGCTGACGATGCACAGTGTTGGGTCTGCACTGGGATGTTGTTGGAGAAGGGATGGGGAGAAGGGTGCCAAAGCAAACATTCCACATTTGATTTGGGATGGAACAGATTTTCTTTGAAATAACTTGCGAAACATCTTGTCCTGAGCTTGCAATGCAACCAGTGACTGCTGCCAGTTGTCAGGCCAACGGGGGAGATAGTCAGAAAATAGTCAGGAAACACTCATGGAACAAGCCAAGGACTAGGGCACCGTGGGGTGCATTGAGTTTCTTGTTGACAGGCAGGTGCTGAGCAGACACCTCACTTCTTCCCTGCTGCCAGGTGAAGGCTTCCTGGGCTGAAGGAAAGCACCTTGCAGGAGCTCAGAGCTCGTTGGCACATTGGAGAGATCTCATGGGTCACCTTCCCAAGCAGGGCAGCCCACCAAGGTGGAGCTCACACTTCTGGCTCCTGCCCATGCACAACGCCTTGGATATCTGCAGGGATCCGGGGACCCTCCCACTGTCCTGCTGCTCACAGGGAGCTCCAGCAGATCCTCTGGTGCTTGGGCGTTTCCATCCTTCCTGGGAAACCCAACTGCAAATTTGGTCTCTCCATGGGTGTCATTCAGGGGACCTGTGAGGTGCAGCATAGTGAGAACCCTGAATTAAGTCAGTGGCTGTGTTTTCATCTGCCACTGACATTGTTTAGTCCTCCAAAATGTGTTGTCATTGCAGAAGGTGTGAGTGCTGGATCATGGCACCCTAGTTAGCTCGGTGTGCAGGAGGCCTCAGGTTACCTCTGATGCACGATTTCTCCCTGGCATCGTTGGTTATTCCTATCAAGTCTCAGACAGTGTAGACATATGGGAAAGGAAGTCGTGAAAGCGGCTTGGAGGCCGACTCAAAACACCTTAAATTGGTGTGATTTCCCCAAAGGAGGAACTGCCTGCTCTTTAAAAAAAATATTAAAGTCCTCCTCTTAAAAAGGGCTCTTCAGGACAGGATCGATACCACTGAGTTACTTTTTAAAGCAAAAGTCTTGGGCCAAAACCAGCCTCCACCCTGCATCTTGGCTGACAGAAAATTCTCTTTTTTAACTTCTTTTTTTTCCCCCCTTTGCCCTTTTCCTGCAAAGGCCTCTCAGCAGACGGTGGAGCCAAGCGCCAGGAGCACCTCTCCAGGTTCTCCATGCCTGACCTGAGCAAAGACTCGGGCATGAACGTCTCAGAGAAGATGAGCACCATGGGCACCCTGAACTCGTCCATGCAGTTCCGCAGCGCCGAGTCCGTGCGCAGCCTGCTGTCGGTGCAGCAGTACCAGGACATGGAGCCCACCCTGCACGACCTCGCCAGCCCCCTCGGCTACCAGGAGCGGCCGTCGCACGGGCGGATGCACCAGAGCTTTGACTACGGCAGCGGCGTGCCCGGGGGCAATCTGGGGGCGCAGGAGATCCCCAGGCACACCCCCATGAGCGAGCGCACACGCCGGAGAACCGTGCTCCGCGACGACGAGCGGCACTACCGCCCGCACCGGCCCCGGCGCTCGCGGCGCTCCCGCTCGGACAACGCCCTGCACCTGGCCAGCGAGCAGTGCTACCGCCTGAAGGAGAGACCCTCGCTCCGGGCCAGGGACGACTACGACCCCTTCGTGCACCAGAGGAGCTGCAGGGAGACGATGGAGCAGGGTCCCTGCAGGGATGTCTACGGCCACTGTCCCCGGACGGTGTCGGATCTTGCCTTGCAGAACCACTTGGGCGAGAGATGGGGGCCCTACTTTGCCGAATACGACTGGTGCTCCACCTGCTCCTCCTCCTCGGAGTCCGACAACGAGGGCTATTTCCTCGGGGAGCCGATTCCGCAGCCCGCCCGCCTCCGGTACGTGACCAGCGAGGAGCTGCTGCACAAGTACGGCTCGTACAGCATGCCCAAGTCTTCCACGGTGGGGGCCAGGGGACAGTTGCACAGCCGGAAAAGACAGAAGAGCAAGAACTGCACCATATCCTAATGGCATCCTTGCCAGGCACCTTGGGAGAATGTAAATTAACTCACGATCTTGCACTGTTTTAGATCATGTAAGTGCTTTTATTGTAACAAAAAAAAGGCCCGAAGAGTAGGGATTTGTTAAGAAGGTTGTAGACCGGCTTCTATAAATAGTCATAATCCTGGGCACAGTGAATATATTTTGCACATCTTACTTTGGAGATTAAAATTTTAAAAGTTCACTTTAGCCTGTAATATTTACCCAGTAGTTTCTCTTCCTTCTCCCAAATACTGCCACTCCCTTGAGCTCTGTTTGTCCATACGTTTTGGTTGCCACTGTTGACTCTCAGCATCAGTTTGCTGGTAGGTTTTGTTTTCCACCACATTTTTGTTTTCCATTAGCCATGTTGGTAGGTGATTTGTCTCTTGGACAGTGTGGGAGCCTAAGTTATTTCCATGATTGTTGTAAATGCGATGTAAATGAGAGTTTGGAGAAAATATTTTTGTATTTTGTAATATCAGAGGAATTTCTATATCTTAGGAGTCACTGGGAAAATGCATGCACGTTCAGAATTGTTTTCAGTCAGAGCCAACTGAACAGTACTTTGGAACCCCCTTTCCATTTCATCATCACTTAAGTTTATCAGTGAGAGTCTGAGTTTTCATTGGTTTTTAGGTTTTTTTTGTTTTGTTTTAACCCTTTTTTTCTGTTTATTTGTTTTGATCCTGGTCAATAAACAGAAGGTTTTTTGATTCATTAAATCTTGCCAAGCCTCAGTGGCATTTTGAAGCCTATGATTTGCAGGTACACTCCATCAGTCAGACACAGGAACCCCTGACAGCTGCAAAAGGGCCTTTTTTTAAAATTATTACTATTACTAAATAGGAAAGACCAGAACTACCAAATGTCTGCAACATTGTAAATTACCAAAGCTGGAGAAGGAATTTCACACCTCTGTAGAGAACGCTGAAGTTACTAAACATTGAACTATTATTTGGAGTAAATAAAGTGTAAATGGTGCAATTGTGTGATGTCAGCATGACGTTGTTTTGAATATAGACTTGTCTTATGGTGCTCTAGTCTCCTGGGTTAACTGCTGTTCATTACCAAGTGGAAGTCTCAGTATTGCCTCCTGCCTACCACATGAGAACACCTGCAAACTGCTCCCCGTGGGCCCCTCCTGCCTGGCAAGATGCCCTCGGCCCTCTGGGGCTGTTTGTGGCCAGGGCTCGTCCCTGGGGGGCTCAGCCCAGCCCCTTGCTGCGGCAGAGGGCCCCTACATAGGGCTCAGCTGTGTTGTATTCTGGTGGATGTGAGTTTGTTCTCTGTGTGCTTTAATCCATTGGGGTTCTGCCATCCCAGCTGCAAGCCAAGGCCAGGTTGTCCCAGTGCTTCCCAAAAAGGAGCGAGTTTGCAAAAGGGGCTCTTGGCACCCAAAGCACCTGTGGGGGTTCGGATAAGGCTGGGCTTTGAGCCACAGGAGGGCTGAGAGCTTAACCAGCTGCATTGCCCTCGCCCCGTGTGCTGCTGGCACCCCAGGGTGCCCCTGCACCTTGAGGCCAGCCCCCCCTGCACCCTGGGAATGGGGATCCCTCTGCAGGGATGGCACTGGCAGCCCTGGGCACACACAGGGACACCCCCATGCCTACTCAAAGCAGCAGATGCAGAAAAATCTAGAAGATGGATGTCTTCATACCACAGACTATTGCTAGGAATTTTTTTGTTGTTTGTAAAGGACAATGTGATAATTATTATTCCTTTAAAAAGAAAAAAAAAAAGAAATGATACTTAAATATATTTAAAAAATGTTTTTTCCAGTTGGAATAAATGGAAATATTCATCCAAAGGGAAGAGTCTTGTGTACATTTTTTGCTCTTAAGGAGTGTTGGTTAATCATGAATAGAAGATTTGATTTTTACTGAGCTGGTCTTGCAATAAAAGCACAAAAACCAGCTCAGCTCCATTGTTGGCATGGTTTTAGTGGGCAGGGAGCTTCTCCTGCACACCACGCACCGTCCCCAGGATTGGTGACCTGGTGTGGTAACATCTGGACCCATTATTTGTTGTTAAAAAAGCCACATCATAGATTCATTTAGGCTGGAAAAAAACTCTAAAATCATTGAGCAAGAACAACCCAACACCACTACGTTCACCACAAAAGGATATTCCCAAGAGCCATATCCACACAGCTTTTGAAATCTTCACCTGGTAAAAGCCAGCACAGCTCAGCTGAAATCCCTGCTGGGCCTTTGGCATACTGGGGGAGACTATCAACCTGAAATGTAGAAATAACAGCCTTTTCTTAGAAGTTGACAGATTTTTCCATGCTTTCTAAAACAGACCTGTTAAGCTGGATTGGGGTATTGCTTACAGCAACAAATATGCCACTGTAACTACAGGTTATTATATAATTGGAATTTAATATGTACAGTTTAATTTATTGTCAGTGATTAAAAGCACAACAAATGTCTGTCAGCTCTGGTACAGCTGAGCTGCTCTTGTGCAGCAGGAGCTTGGATTGCTCAGCAAATGGTAAAAAACTAATCCCCAGCCTTTCCCCTTTCCCTGCTTGCTGCCTCTCACCAGGGGTAACAGAACAAGTTTAGAGACTCCTCACAGCAGAATTGCAGCACTCTGCACGTGCAATTTTTCTACAAAAATCACAGGCACAGTGTCTCTATTCACACGGGTTTTGCTGCTGGAAGTAACTTCAAAATTTGGTTCTCACTGCAGAGCATCTCTGCATCCCTGCAATGCACTCCAGTTTTAAAGCAGTGCTGGAATTGGAACAGATGGACAACAAAGGGGGGAGAAAAGAGTCTCTCAGGTGATGCTCCCCTCTGATGGACCCTTCACCAGCGCCACAGAAAAGTGGCAGATCACATTTTCTAGGAAGGTCAGAGTTGGTACAGATTCCAGCAGTAAATGCAAATGCAGCTTCCAAACCCTTTTGATTTTTCATATGGGCTCCAGAAGTCCAGTACACTTTGAGGCACGTGATTGAAAAAGAAAAAAGAAGTTACTTGTTTTTCTGCTTAGCCCAGTTGGAGTATGATTAACCATTTCTGACAAACCCACTGAGAGCTTGAGGGATGTAGCTACAAGTCTGTAAAATCTTGCTCCATTGCCATCTGGCCCTGCTGATTCCCCTCTCTGTGCCCGCTGCAGGTGGAAGCCCATGTGCTGACGTTTGCTTTTGCGTCTCCAGACCTGATGAAGGTGACACCACTAAAGCTTGGGATGAGTGTCAGGGTTCCCAGTTTCCCTGGGGTCCCCTGCAGTTTCCCTGCTTTGGCCAAGCAGGAAGCTTTTTGCTGGGCTCCTCCAGCCAGCTGTGCTACCAGAGCCAGCCTGGTACACCGTCACTGTTGCTTACAAAAATAATTAAATCTGATTGCTAAGGTCTATTGCTACCACAATTTTCTTCTGTAAAAGTCTTTTATCCCCTTTTTTTCTCCAGAAAGTCCTTGGCAAAACTCACCCAGTGTCACCACGGGGTGGGCTGGTGTTAACCTCCATTGCAAAGCCAAGATTCACATCAAACACTTGGCTGTGAGTTGTGTGATGGTGGGAGCACAGCATCCTTCACATCCATGTTTCCCAGTAGACATGGGGGCTCTCTAAGGTCCCTGCAACACCTTATGAAATGCCCCATGACAACATGTTGGCCCAAAACCCACTAAAACTGAGCAGAGAAGCTTCCAGCACACTAAGGCTTGTTTTTCAAGAAGCCAAAAGCCACATAGCCTTGAACCTGGCAGATACATCATAATGAGATGAGCAAAGCCTCTGCAGAAAGATCAGAAGTGTAAAGTTAGAAATATTCAGCAGCACCTTCTCTGGAAATTATCATCCGTAGATAATTCCACATTTGCTAAAGGCCCAAGTGGCTCTGGCATAGCCCAAAGCACTCAGTGGCTTTGAAAACCCAGTTGCTTTTGAAGGGAGGGACAGCATTGCTGAGTGGAGGGTTAATAAATTACATCAGTTTGGCAAAGACCAAGAGCTCCTGAGAAACAGACACACATTTACCCTCACAATTTAATACCCTAAAAATCCATGCCTTTGCAGTATGGGGCTGGCAGCACCCAGCTGGCACTGCTGCTGTGCCCTTTTCCCAGCTCTCGGGCAATCTGGGCTCCTGGGCTTTGAACTGCCCTGGTATCTGATGAACTTTGCTCTTTCAGGCTAAAAAAAAGCTCCCAGTTCCTTGCATTTACATACAATTATGCTATTCTTGAAATGTAGGCTGTCCTCGTTCTCCTGAAGATTATCTGCCACCTATTAGATGACCATCCTCCATGTTCAAAAAAGCTCATTAACTTAGAGCAATTCCAGAGGATTTTATTTTAAAGATTATCCTTTTTTTTTTTTTTTCATGCAATACACTTTTAACCTTGATCTTTAAAACTATGTAGGAATTCAGATCCAGTCTGAGTACAAAGGGGAGTCACTGGAGAGTTGGGGCCCCTTTCCAAAAGCATCCACAAGTGGTGACATTTTAGTGCAGGGGAGAGGAAGGCAGGAAGGAATACACTATTATATTCATTTCTAATGCCAAGAATGCTTGTCTGAATCTCTGAAGAGGGGAAAAAAATTTAAAGTTCCAATTATTTGAATTTGTTGCCTCTGCCCATCAACAATGGACTCCAGTGTTGTGCTGTGTGTTCCCTCCATGATAAAGCATCAGCTTCATCTGCAGCCAGGCTTCATCCTCAGCTGGGAGGAGCAGAGGAAGCCAGGACACAGGCTTTACCCACCTATGGGACACTGGCCCTTGGGTCAGTGACCAAAGGCAGCTCCACCTTTCTGCTTCTTCACTCCTTATTATGCACTCAGCAAATCACCACTTTCCTTGTTCTAGGCAAACCCAGTCAGTTGCTAAAGCATTCTCAGGAGAGTTTTCCCCTTGTAAAAGCAAATATTTATATCTGCTGTGCTGTTAGAGGCTCTGGATATGATCAACTCTTAAGGCAAGATTTAGCTGAAAGAGATGATTTATTAAAATGGATAAACAAAGCCCTGTGAAGCAAGTTAATTCAGTCTAAATAAAGCATTACACTCTGAAGAGCACACATCAGATCACAGTATATATGTATATGTATATATATCCCGTGTAATTCCTGCAGTCAAAAGCACAGCCCTCTGGACTGGGATCCCATACCATACCCAGGAGAAAGGCAGCCCTGAGCCAGGCAATGAATGTATCAGCACATTTCCTGCTCTCTAACAAACCCACCAGGCAACCCACTCCCACCCCAAACACAGCGATCCCTGTGGCTGCCAGCCCTGCTGTGCTCTGTGCCTCAGTTTCCCCATCTCCAAACCTCCACCACGAGCATGCTTTTAACAACAAGGAACTTAAAATCTGGGCTAAAGGAAGCTGGCAAAGGAGTTCTGATTTAAACCAGTGGCTCAGGGTTTGAGCCAGCTTTGTTGGCACTGCATGCCAGGAATTTCTATTGGAGTTGTTTCCTCCCTTAGATTCTTTAGAACTTTAATTCTATACAACTTGGGTTTTTTTCTTCTTTTCTGTAAGTTGGGCCTTAATTGTCAATTATCTGCTTATGAGAACGCTTTCATGGTTGATACTGGAGCAGACTCAAGCAGTTTTTATTTTGGTACTTGGATTAATTAGCTTTATTGGAAGAGGGAGGCAGGGCAGGGATTCATTCTTGCTGCTCATCACATATTCATTATTTACATTTTTCAGTATCCCAAGTAACTCGGCACAGAAAACAAGTAAATGAAGACTGAAACATACACAAAACATCTGGAGCCGCTGCAATTCTGTAATTATCACTGCTCATTCACAATGCACAGAGTGCCTGTTGGAGAGGCCATTCATATATTGGCCCAGTGGAGATTTTTCCTGTCAGATGCTTCCAATGAGCTCCCCCCTGTCCTCCTGCTCCATCTGCCTGGCTTAGGTCTGACCTTCACTCCCCACCAAAAGCCAAAGCAGCAAAATTGCTCATTGTTGGGAGCAGCAGCTCCTGGCCCAGGACAGTAAACACAGCTGGGCACATTAGGGTTGCTGAATAATTTATGTGATGACTCTTCAAAATAGTAAATCCTGCTCCCTCAATCCACTCCATCCTTCATCGTGTGCCTGCTGAGCAGTTTGTGAATATTTAGGAAGTTTTACTAAATTCATAGACTCCTGGAGCAAACAGTTTTAAAATATTGAGTGAAACGCTTGCATCTCACACTGCTCACTGTTCATGTGGCCACAGGGGAGCAAAGGGGGTTCAGGGAGCGTCACTGCAAAATCCTCGTGGCTTAGATGAAAATTTTCAATATTTTGGTCCAACAGATGCGATGCTGCCCTGTGCCTCCCCTGCAGTTCTACGCCCCTCTGCTCACCACCACTGAGGAGTTAAATTAAAACTTCCTCCTTGGATAACACATGGATGAAATAGCAATTTATTTATATGCCAGGAAGCCAGGTCTAGGCACAGCAGCATTTGGGTGTGGGGAACCTCAATAAAACCCTCCAAAATGCTGATGTGGCCCCAGCCTGGGGTGGAGATGGCTCAGCTGGCAGCACTGGTAGGGTCTGCCAGCCTGAAGGGAAAGGAAAAAAGGGAAAGGGAAAAGGAAAATAAAAGGAAAATGGAAAAGGGCAAAAGGGAAAAATAAATGGGCAAGGAAAAAGCAGAAAGGCAAAGGAGAAGAGGAAGTGAAAGGGGAAGGGGAGAAGCTTTCTCCTGGCTGGGCATACCCCTGGGCAGGCACACTAGGGCAGCCTCCTCTCCAGCACTTGGCCTTCTAGCAGTTCATTTTGGAATTCACAGTGCTGGGAATAAATGTGCCTGGCTTCACAACCTGGCCCAGTTGTGACAG